CAGAATGCTGCTCAGCTTTTCTAGTCGATGCACCTCCCCAGCGACACGCACATGCATAACATGCGCCAGCCAATTGCCGAAAATTCGGTATGTTGCGAGTCTGTCTAATAGACACTGTCGCTGCAACATGATTGATTCGTGCTGAAACGAAACAGCTGATTTTGCTTACGGGCGGGAGTTACCATTGTCGTAACGGCATGCGGGCGTCCTGTGCTTTGACGTCCTGAGCTACCATGACGTTGAAGCCGATCGGCCGCACATGCAACGCAAAGATTCACAGTGCTGCTCAGTTGTTTGTTGTTGGCCTTGTTAGGTTTGTTGTTGAAGTGTTTCGTTCCTATCCCGTTTCCAGGGTATGGGGTCTCGGGTTCACATCTCCGAATCAGGTTTTGTATTGCACAACAATCGTCTGCTGCTGGGGAAAGCCTTGCACGCTACAATTTGCAAACTTTTTTTTTTGGGGGGGGCAGCGTTGGTTGCTTGTGATGGTTTTCCACACCGGCTTACGGCTTACAAGCAGCCGACAACCCCGAACTCTGAAACTTGTCCCTCAAGCCTAATTTAATTAGAACTAATTATAGGGAAATGAATGCGCTGTAGACTACAGCACTCATTCCCCAACATGTCCCTAAGCTAACGGAGCAAATTCTGCATACTCGGACGGCGGGGGGGGGGGGGGGGGGGTAGTTTCTTCCAATGCTTCACGGCTCCGGCGGCCGAAGGATGCCTTGTAGCCCATGAACCATAAGGGGTACTTTAAGGGTCCCTTTAAAGGGATCTATAGAGATTCTATAGTAAGGGTATAGGGGTTAGGACCTACTTGGAGGTTCATGGGTGGTTATAAGTACAGCTATAATTAGGATAACTATGCTTATAACCCAGATAAGGGGACTTAACCCTAGTTATAACTACCCCTGAACCTCCAAGTACCCCTTCAACCCTTTTCTGCAAGCAAGGACGAGGAGGATGAATGGCACAAGAGAACGAAAGACGCTACTTTCTGCAAAATTATTGGTTCCCAAAGGCTCCATGTACCCATATAGTAGGTACTTAGGCCTTGAAGTAGCCATATGGGGACCCCTTTAAGGCCTAAGTACCCACTATATGGGTACATGGAGCTCTAGGGGTTGTTAAGGCGTTGGGCTGCAGGGTGTCAGCCCCAGGGATTCCAAATCTATGATGTACACGCGGCCCACGGTCACGGTTGACATTGGCATTCCAGGGCCTCAGGTAGGGTATCTAGTTTGAGTTCTTCCTATGTTGAAAGCTGTAGAAAGAATAGAAGTAGAGTTTCATTGGGATTGAAGGTCTAAGTTTTGCACCGTCGTAGCTACATGAATGTATCCGCACTTGCAGGCCTAAGTTTTAGAGTTTGTGGTTTGGGGTTGAGGTATGCGAGATAGTAGAGGTCAAACACAGCACATGATATACTAGTTAGGGAGGGCTTGGAATGCATTATTCGTGATACTTAGTCGTAAAGCCGCAAAGCTTCTCTATTCGGTTTATCCTCGCCACTCTCGCCTGCCGATTTATTTGGGAGTCACTTGGAGATTGTTCTTGTTTACACGCTTTTTGTGGCAATGTTACTTGTTGGTTGTAGTTGGAAGTTCAATCAACAACAAGCAGGAGAACTTGCTGCATGCCCTCAACCTTCAGCCATGAAATCCTGCGAAATTGAAATCCGAAACGCATCGATGCAGGATCCGGTACGTTTTGGTGACCTTGTTTGCGCATTACGAGATCCTAAAAACACAGCGTGCTACACAGTTACAGATTCAAAAGATGTTGTAGTGGTGTATTTTTCTACAATATGTTCCCAAATCCCAATACGATTATCAATGAGGTCCCTATATTGTGGCCAGAAGGGCAAATTCAGTGGGTATGGCCCAGGGTGTATAGCATGGGTGAGCGAAATGGCCAAGAGGGCAACTTTGCCGGGTATGGTCCAAGGTGTATATGGCATGGGAGGGGTTTAGGGGCGCATCGGGTGCAGGGGTCTTGGGCATTCTCAGATTAAGGCATATTCCTTTCCTCACATTAGGGATCCTTATAAAGTTTTCGGAATAGTCCTTAATTAAGGGATATTGGAGTCTCTGGGTTTGAGGGTCTGAGCGTTTCCGTCAAACACTAGACTACTAGACTGGCGGCTTGTGTCTTTACGTTGGAGCTAGCTTGGCACCTCACAACTCCCAAAACCCCACAGGGTCCCTCAGTATAAATATAGTACAACAAACATTATTACGGTTATGATTTGGGGAAGTATCCCCGGAAACAATACCACGATCCTTTAAATCTTCCATCTTGACGCAGCTCTTTTGGGTCGGTCTAGGCCAGGCTCCTTGAGTTTAGGATTCGCCATGTAGTCTCCATTGGAGTTCGGTTACAGTAACCAGTCAGTTTTATGGTTAGGATCCCATAGCGTGCATTTCGTTCACCAAACAAAGAACTCCTAAGGAGACTGCAGGTAGCTATCCTGAACCTTAAGCCCAAAAGCCTCTCAACCCGTCAAGCCTATTGAACCCAAGCCTTGAAATTTCCAGGCCCGAAAGGCAAAACTTAAAACCCTGAACCTTAAAGCTAAGGCCCTGCCCAAGCCCGAACTTCAAGACCAGGTCGCGAATTCGCCTCCTCTAGCGCCTGTTGCAAGTGTGCTGCCGCCGCCGCCATTAGCTGCACAGGTGGCATAGGGTTCAGGTTTTCAAGTTTGAAACCTCAGCCCTGTGGAGTTGGGATGTAGTTGGGTTTAGGTGCAGATCTCTGGGCTTCGCGGATAGAAGAGTGCAACAGTGAACACGCGGGTGTGTTGAGGTGATTTATGATACACTCAGGGTCCAAGGCGCTTCCCGATGTCAGCAGATCGGGTACGGAGATGCCGCTTTAGGGTTTAGGGTTTAGGGGTATCTGAAGTCTTCAGAGTCCAAGATAGGACGGTTTGTTGGCAATCGCTTCATGCACTGAGGGTTTAAGCCTACCCCCAACCCTGTAAGCCTCAGTCCAATTCGTCATGTAGGCGTTTGTGTAGATCCCAGAGTTTGAGCCAAATTCTCATCGCCGTCCCAAACTGACGGTATGTAAGCCTTGGCAAGAAGAATTACTTGCTGAACAGTCCAGAGTGACCTGAAATTGCCCGACACTTGCGGTGTGTGCAATATCCTCTCTGTTGGATGATGAAGATTTGGTCTACCAGGATGCCCAGGAGTACCCGTATTCCCTTTTTGCAGTCCTAGGTTCCTTATTAAGTTACCCAATACCAAAAAGGGGAGCCCTTCTTATTCCTAGGTTACTGAGCATCCTAGTCTACAAAGCAGTGAGGTCGGTGAATGGTTAGGGGTTTAGGGTTTAGTTAGGTTTAGGGCTAGTTAGGTTTAGGGCTTGGGGTTTAGGGTTTAGGGTTTAGTTAGGGGTTTAGGGCTTGGGGTTTAAGGTTTAGGGTTTAGTGAGGGGTTTAGGTTCCTGTTGCTCGTCTGTTGGCGGTCTTGTCAGCGGCAAAGCAACCCTAAAAGCACGCCAGGCGCTAAACCCCAAGCCCATCCCAAACCCTACTTGGAGGTTCATGGGTAGTTACAAGTACATTTATACTTAGGATAGCTACACTTATACCGCATATTAGGGGACTTGTAGCGCCATTTATAACTACCCCTGAACCTCCAAGTAAACTCCCTAAAGCCCATGCCGGACTCTAAACCGCAAAACATCCCCCAAGCCCTGACCCGGAGGCGGAAACCTATACCTTGAGGCCATTGCCTTCAATTACCCAAACCTAGTTTTTTTACAGGGCGTCTATAAGTTCTACGTTGGGGTTTCTTTGCGAACCTGCAAAACGGACGTTATGGTAGTCTAGACCTTAGGGCTTGTGGTTTCATATATCCTTGCGGCTTACACCTGCGATTCCTAAATCCCAGACCCCGCCAAGCCTATAACCCCATAGCCGACGACCCTAAACCACCATCTCCCGAAGCCTGAAATAAAAACGAAACCCGTAACCCTAAATATCCTACTTTACAGAAACCCTTGTCGTCCTTTCAGAAGAAGCCTCATATTCCCCTTATGGAATTTTTGTCTATGTAATCCCCTTAGAGTATAGGAACGCTCAATCTTAAGCCTTTCGTACCTTTAGCCGTAAGCCTAAACACTAAAGCCTAAGCCCTAAACCCTACAAACCTAAACCCTAAACCCTACAAACCTACACCCTAAACCCTACAAGCCCTAAACCCCAAACCCTACAAACCCTATATAAACCCTAAGCCCTACAAGCCCTAAACCCCACAAACCCTAAACCCCCTAAACCCTAAACCCCACAAACCCTAAACCCCAAACCCTACAAGCCCTATATAATTTCTAAACCCTACAAACCCTAAACCTTAAACCCTGCAAGCCCTAAGCCCTACAGACGTAAAACCGTTGAGCCTAAACTCCAAGGGTAAAAGGAGGGACCCTTAATACGGACCCCTAGGTATATACCCTTAATATAGCTATTATATACCCATTATATAGCCCCATTATGGGGTAGGGGTCCCCATTAAGGGTCCCTCCTTCTCCCCCTAAACCCCCTAAACCCCCACACCCCTAAACCCTAAACCCTATACCCTTGTAGAATCCCTGTAGATCCCTTTAAAGGTACCTGATAAACTCTCGAGGCAGACAAGACGCCCTCGCCATCGCCTTCGCCGTCTCCCTCCCCACCCGTCGCGCCGCCTTCGGCGGCTGCTTCGAAGGCCGGTGTTCGGGTTTAGGGACTTTAGGGTTAGGGCTTAGGGACTATAGGGCTTAGGGACTTCAGGGACTAGGGCTTAGGGACTTTAGGGTTTAGGGTTTGGGGTGCTTTAGTTATTTAGGCTTTAGGGGCTTCAGGGCCTACAGGGTGGAGGATGTAGGGTTTAGTTTAGAACTAGAAGAGACAAAAGAGCCCACCCCGGGCCTCGTCTACTCGTCCGCGCTTTTGCGGCTGCTTGATCAACACGTGTGCCTGCAGGTCGGAAACTGAAAGGCGAGGGATGACTTCAGGAACCTTCAAGCTTTACACTGGTTCCATTCTGTCTTTTGTCTATACAATCTTCCCTCTCCCGAAATGTGAGCTTGAGCTCTCCTTGGATGGTTTTCCACCATTGATCCGCTTTCAGCGGTTTGGTGAGGACATCCGCCAACTGCGCCCACGTGGGCACCCATACTATCTTTCCGTAGTTCAGGATGTCCTCGCGAATGCCCGCCAAGTCGATGGCGAGCCTTTTGCAGCTTGGTACCCTAGGTACTCCGTCTCGTGTGAGGTGGTCGTACAAGCTGCGGCAGTCAGTGAGGAAACGTACGTGGAATCTGGACTTCCTTCTCTCCAGTTTCCCGGTGAGCAGAGTCTCCAGGAAACGTCCAATGTAGTCTCCCGTCTCGGTAGCCGTACAACAAGCCATCGTCTCGGCCGCGAAGGTGGACCGACACACGCGATCGCACGCCCCACTTCGCCAGTCCAGGATGCTTCCTCGGGCAGGCTTGCCGTGAAGCACCCCTTTGTCTGCCAACAAGTAGATGCCTCCGAGCTGGGACGTGATGGAGGAACTCGCTTTCTTGGCCTTGGCCTCCTTCCTGGCAAAAGGACCGTCGGTGATGAGGCCGGCCTCGTCCTCCTCTGCCGTCAGGCTGTAGTAGGGGTCGTCTTGGCTTTGTGGCACGTTCGCCCAGCCGGCATCGTGGAAGCACAACAACACCGCATTGTCGAGGTCAACGGGGTAGAGCTCCAGGCCATTCTCGTGGTGCTCGAGGGCCCTCCGAGCCATCTGATTGGTGAATCGAATATCACCCACAGTCGGCTCCTTCTGCCGTTGTTGACTCATCGAAACACCCACTTGTAGGTCTGGTCGGGTCTGGCTCGCCATCCACGACAATGCACCAATCAAGGACATGTTGTCGTGCTTTTGGGTCTCCGTAGCCTCGAAGTGGTCGGGGACGTCCTTCTCCACCTCGATCTCGAAAAGCCGGGTCATCGCGTAGCTGGCCTGGCTGATCTTCACCTTGTCCTTCTGAATGTCGATGAGAGACCCCACGTAGTCGAAGCTGTCGGCCTCCCAGTCACGAATGGGAAACCGCTCGCTGATGGCCTTCTTCAGAACTTCGCAGAGAGCTCGCTTTCCAACCAACAGTACATCATCCACATGTACGCCGAGGTAGGCCTCCGGCGTGCCCAGGATTTCATCGTCCTGGCCCTCGTTGGCGACGATCTCTTGCACCATGAAAATGCAGTGATCCAAGCTGCTCTGCACCAGCTTGTACCTCTTGCCATCGCAGTCCACCACGAGGGACTTCATCGTCCCTTTGAACTTTGTCCACCAGGCAGCTGGCGAATCCACTAAGCCGAAGATCGGCTTCTTGATCTTCAGGAGTTGCTCGGGATGCAAGCTTCCGAGTCCAGTCCTTGGCTGTCTCAGATACAGTTCTCTCTCGAGCTCGCCGCCGCATAAGAAAGCGGCTGTGACATCCCCGGCGTAGCCTCCCCAGTCGTTGGAGAGGTTGGACGCGAGGATCTGAAGCAGGAGCAGAATGCCCTGTCGGGAGATCGTAGGTGCGTGCGTGCTCAGGCCATCCATGAGGTCTGGGTCGCGGTGTCCCGCGATCACAAGTCTGGCCTTTGCCTTCCATCCCAAAGTGGGGTCTTGTCGTCGTCGGCTCCATAGTTTGTCGCGGTAGGCAAAGCGACTTCCCAACACGCGGTCCCCCTTCTCACGGATGATCTTCCGGCTCTCCTCAATACTCAAGGGTTCCAGGGCCTGGTGCTCGACGTGCTCCTCCCACTGCTTGTTCTCCGCTTGTTTGAAAGCCTCATGCTGCTCGGGAGGTATCATGCTCCACGGCAACTCCTTCTCCAAGGCTTTCTCTCGTCCCCTCTGCGTTTTGGGAAGTTTCATCATGAAGGCCTGGTGCTGTGGAGCCTCGTCGGCGCCGGCGGGAGGGCCTTTGGTCCTATGTCTCTTTGTCACCGGTGCCGGAGTGCTTCCTTCAGGGGGACGCCGTACTGGTTCACCACGGGGTTCTTGGTCGGGAGAATCGGGTCCTTCAGGAAGCAAGACGTGGTCCTCGGTGAGCTCCATGTCTTCGCCCTCGTACATGTCCTCGTCGGCGAAGTCCTGCTCAAGCAATTTCTGGAGGTCCTCCTGTGTGGCGCGCATCGCAAAGGCCGCGCCCAGTTCTTCTCCACTCGCAAGCCGTAGATGCTCCGGAGCCACCAAGTGGCACCTCCCAGAAAAGGACACCCAAGCATTGGGTCCTTCTTTCCCAATCACAACTCCGGGACCGTGCCACTCCCAGTTCTTGTTGTTCTTGGGCTTGCGATAAAAGAAAACATGAGCCCCTTGTTGAAGATCTGGACCTGCAACCCGAGATCGCTGTAGCAGGGAACGTCGCAAGCGGGCGTCGTTCTGGACCCGAAAATAGGCCTCCTTTGCCGAGATCCTCAAAGAATGTTCTCTGGCACGTTGTCGGTCGTGGCTGATGATGTGCTCGACGTGCTCGTCCTGGGGCGTCCCTTTGAGCTCCTCCGGCAGCTTGGGGTCTCTTCCCCACACAGCCTGTGACGGGCTGAATCCGGCATCCCTGCGGAGGGTGTTCATGGCGGTGCTTGCCGCCGTGATGATCATCCCGGCCTCTTCGGAGGAAGCCGACCATTCATCGACGAGTCTCCCCCAAATCTCCTTCCAGGTGCGGATCGCTCTCTCCGCCGTGCCGTTCTGCCAGTGAGCCTGGCCGGCGACGGGGCGGATTTTGGTGCCATGCCACTCACCGAAACGTCCCAAGCCGGCTTGCAGCCCACTCTCCAAGTCCACGACCATCGTTCCTGGAGCTCCGAAAGTGTTGCTCCAAATCGAACAGAAGCTGCTCTCCATGGTGATCCCTGAGTGGCCCTGAAGCAGGCCTGCCGACACAAAGCCTGTTCCGACGTCCACCACAATCATGAGCTCAACCTTTTCCCCGTCGCAGTCGCACACGTAGAATGCATCGACGGCCACCAATTGGTTGAACTCCAAAAGGTTCGGAAGTGTGGCGGGTTTCGCACTCGCTCCTCTCTGGTTCCGATGGCACACCTGACATCGAAGCCTTTTGCAGGCTTCCACAACGGTAGCATCCGCGCCAGCCAAACGCAGGTGCCGAGCCAGATCAAGGTTCGACGGGTGCCCCATGTTCTGATGCAACCGCTTCAAAGACGACCTCACCTCCGGAGCTATCGTTCTTCCTTTATCGAAATGGATCGCCTCGGCACCGCGGGGTTCTGCAGAAAGAGGTTCTCTCGGTCCACCCGGTTGTTCCTGATCTACCACGAGCACCGCCTCGAGACCGGGAGGTTCTGCAGACAGAGGTTCTCTTGGTCCTGGGTCCTCCTCGTAGTGGTCGCTCTCCAAGTTGTGCCCACGTAGGTCCGGATGGCAAACGTAGTTGGTGAACTCCGGCACGTCGCGGTGTTCATCTTTGAGAGAGAGGGGCGGACTGAGATCGTTGAACCGGAGTATTCCACTCTCTCCGGGTCGCCTTCCATAGCGACCTGTGTGCTTCTCGAGAAGTTCGCGAAGAGGCGGGGAGTCCCAAAAAGGATGTCCATCAGCTGCCTCGAAAGCCAGCTTCCTCCCTTGGTTGACCTGCTTGTGGAATGTGGGAACCAATCCACTCAGGAATTCCAGGGGTTGCTCTCCGTGTACCCAAAGCATCGACGGAGCAAAGCCATTGAAGGTCCGGTCGACGTAGCTGATGTTCTCCTCCAAGGGCACGGCGAGGTCGTACTCGTAGGGCTCGACCGTGATATAGTCCCTCTCAGCGATATCGATGGTCTTCGAGATCCCTCCGATCTCGAAGAGGGTAACTGCTTCTGGGCCACGTGACAGAGGAAAGTCCTCTGTCAGACACAGAGATGCCGCGGTTGTACACCAAGTGGTCAATGTTGCCAGGCGGCTGCTGGTCTTCCACAGTCCTTTCCGGACGCTCTTCTTGGGTCGTGGTACATGATGAGTTTCTGGGATGGGATCTCCTCCTGTAGTGACCCTCGGCAGTCCCCGCAAAGGAAAACGTAGATCACGAAGTTCGTCGCGTAGGAGGGTGTCTGCTCTTCCAAACCCGCGCGTAGTGAAGCACGAGAGCGCCCAGCGCTCTCCATCCCACGGCTGAGTCGCGTGGGGCACTTTTCCATCGAAGGTGTGCGGACACTCCTTGGTGCACACCAGATCTCCGTGAAGCCGGCTGCCGTCGGGGCCATCTCGAAGGACCTTCCCAATCCCCTCGTTGTTCTTCACCCAGAGCTCTCCGCCAGTGAAGTCACCGAAGCTGACCGTGGTGACGGAAGTTCCCGGAAGGTTGTGCACATCAGCGTGCACTTGCGTCTCAGTGTCCCGGAAAAGGACGAAGGAGGTCCAGGCTCCGTCGAACTTCTCTTTGGCAAAGGAGTTGATGTAGCGGGTGGTCCATGGGAGTGCCTTGGAGCCCCTTGCAATCCCGAAGAACTTCCCGTAGGTGTACATGCCTCCGAGGAAGTACTGATAAGGATTGCCGCCTCCGCGCCGTGACCCCTTCTTCCCATGCACTTTTCGTAGAGGTAGGAGCCGGGCGATCTCGATGAGGTCGTCGTAGGTGAACTTCTTAAGGGCGAGCTTCTCCTTGGCCGTCTTCTCACACATCTCCGTCACGTCGGGGGCGGCGAAAACACTGTTCACTTCGGGGGGCTTACGTTGGATTACATCCCCACAGCCTCCGGAGTTCATAGAAGAGACGGGTCCACCGTCTGCCGCCTGGTACACTAGATCGAGGTCGCAGTTGAAGTAGTCATCTATCTCGCCGGCCTGATCGTTGAGGTCCTTGCGAAGGGCCTCCTCGCTCACCTCAGTGCCCGTCTCCGCGGGCACATCCTCGCACTCGTAGAAGATCTCCTTCACCTCGTCGCAGCCGGTCTCCTTTGTAACGCCTAGTCCCAGCTCCGCGGGGCTATTCCATGTAGGTCTCGGAGAGCCGCGAGCCTCGCTTCCAGGTCCAGCACCTCGTCGATCACCTCCCCGGGGACGTCCTGCTCCATGGACACCTTCTCCGGACCCATCGCCGCAGTCGCCGTTCGCCGCGCCGCCGGTGTTCTCGTTGGAGCTGCCGCCTTGGCCTTGGGTCGAGCTCCATAGCCCTCTCGAATTGGAGAGGTCCGAATCGACACCTCGTCCCACGATCCCATCGACGTGGTGTCCTCGACATACGGAGTCCGGGCGTTGGTCTCTGGGTCCACATAGCTCCCCGGACGGCTCGAGGATCCCGGGCGTGGCAAACTCGCCTCCTGTTCCGAACGAAGGCGTTCGGCCTGCCACCAGTTCGCAAAGAGGACCAGCTCCTCCGAGGGGTTGTCGTGGGAGGAGACCTCTCGGACTGCCCACTCCCGGTAGGAGGTGGGAGTCTCCGAGAACTTCTTGCCCGAGAAGCGGCCGAACGTCATCAAGCTTTCCCCGCACATGCCGTCCTGGTCCCGGAGAATCCGGAGTATTGTTCCACGGGTCGCATGGGGAGGCAGCTTGTAGCCGAGCTCCATCGCCTTCTCCTTCAGATCCTCGACCTTCAGACCGGAGAGACCCTTCAAGGGAGACTGCTTGCTCGGCGCAGCGCGGCGGTTCTCCTGGATGAGGGACCGCAGCTCCACCGCCGTCCACGATTCGTGAAACCAAAGCCCCCTTGCTCGGGCCTCGGTGATCAACTCCGACTTCGTCAGCTCCCACAAAGTCTTCTGCCTGGTCACAACCGGAGCGGTGAGGAGCTCCGAGTGGGCCGACATGATCAAGCGAGGAAGTCGGTGTGGGAAGTTCGGGCATGGGTCTCCGTCTACGAAACACTGTTCTGCCAATCCACAGCATCGGGAAAGAGGAGTGATCACGGTCATCACGCCATGTTCCATGAACTTCAGGAAACAACCGATACGTCTTGCATGACACAGCTTGTACTGACCTAACGGCACCAAGACTGTTCAAAAGGAGGGTCTTCTGTTCGATATTCTGAGTGTTCCAATTCGAAGGACTGAAGAAGGTTCTCCTAGGGACCACGTGTACCCGAATCAACAAATCCGCATCTTCTATCCAAAAGTCGTTGGATATGTTCGTTGACTTCCACCAGTTGACAAAGCTCTCGACCTTAAAATTGCCATCGAGGAGAATGTTCTTTGTGACAGCGGAGACCTTTTGGGGTAGAACACGTTGGGGCCTGACTTCGGAGCGCCTGGTTTGTGGTCTACTTCACTTGAAGGTTCAACATCTCCACCAACTGCATTGTGATTCTCGACATCAGAGCTACTCTTCGGAGGACTGTTAGCGGGTACTCCATCACACAGTGAGGGACCTGGGGTCGACTCCAATAGTGCAGTAGTCATCCAACTGACAGCGCAAGCACTCGCACAAGCTCCCTCGACAGACATGCCACATGCGATCCCTTGCACATTCAAGCCACGCGAAGCTGGACCCTCCGTGTATTGGCACTCGCTCGGGAAGATCTGTAGCTCCGGGCCTTCTCCGTTTGAGAGGGGCTGGTAGGACCTAGGCAGGGGCACTGGCTCAATAGGGAAAGCCGGGTGCCCAGTATCCGTGACACGGAGCCCCATGTCCACGACTCCGAGCTTCTTGAAGGTCGCAGTGTTCTCTGCGACGTCCATCACCATGCCGAGGTGACCCAAAGCAGGCCTCGACACCAACAGGGGCACTTCGCCGTTCACCACTGCGACCTTGAGGATCACCTTGAACTTCCCGAGGGAGAAGCAAATCGCCACCGAGTACCCGGCGACGAAGACCTTGGAGGCACCGAAGCGAAAGGCCTCCCGGCAAGACATGAACTGTGGTTCACATCCTCGCCTCTTGGCCTCTTCCACATAGTTGTCCACCCAGGCCGCGCCCGCCACGGACTTTGAGCAAGCGGTGTCCGTGATAGCCAGCAACTTCTCAGCCTCATCGCCTCCGAGATCCCATGTAACGTGCACAACATGGCAAGGGAAGTTGGCCTTCACGGGGTCCCGAGCCGTGCCACCTGCATTCCCAGTGCCCTGTCCACTCGAAGGCACCGTCATCGTAGAGGTCGCTGAGCCCTTGTTCAAAGGGCACTCCGCATCACGGTGCCAATGGCCGCGCCTGCGGCAGCCACTGCAGAACGACCTCGATTTCGCAAGTCGGAGTTTCTCGGAAGCGAGGCGACGTAGAGCTTCAGGGTCGCTTCCCCGAAGTTTACTGTTCTCTCTGTACCTTTGTTTGGCTGTCTCGTGAGTCATGTAGGCATTGTACAGATTCTCTGCTATCTCCTCCGAAACAGCCTCGCCCTCGTCAGAAACCTGCTCACCGAGGTGCTCGTCGTGGGAATCCTCGAGGAACACCTCGGGGTCCGCCATGTTCGCCGAGTGCGGCTTCTTGCCGCCCCATTCACGCCTGGGGCCACGGTTCTGGCTCTCCCAGGGCTTCCTGAGGCCGCGGTCGTGCACGATCGCCGCCTGCTGCAAGGGCTTAAGAGAGTAGTTATTATTGACGGACGCCAGAAGGTTGAGCTCCGCGGACTCCTCCAGGCACATCCTGTCGACAAAGACCCACGCGGCCGCGATGTCTGGGAGCTCGCAGCCCACCTCGGCCAGCCGCGCGTGGGCGCGGTCGAAGTCCGCCATATACTCCCTCATAGGTTGCCCATCGCGCTTGCGGAGGCGCCGGAAAAAGTCCGACAGGCTTCGGCCCACTTGTGTCACCTGCACATCCAGGTAGCGATCCTTGATCCAAGAAATCAGGTAGTCGACACCCTCGGGGCTGCCCAGACGATCCATATCTAGGCGCTCCGCATCGATCCAAGCTCTGTCGGTGAGGTGCTGGTACAACGTCAGGCCTTGCTGGTCCTTGCTCATCCGTGTCATTCTCCGCCACGCTGACACCTGCCTCAAGTAGGACCTCGCCGAAGAACCGAGATCGTCTTCTCCAGAGTTCATCGCGCCGGAGAACGTCGGCACAATCATCTTCTCCGACGGGCCTCTGGAGTTCTCGTTGCCACGTCCCGCCTGGGACCAGGCCTTTCCGAGGCCATCTGTAGATGGCCCCCAACCGGGAGGCTGTTGCCCATGGTCTGGGCCATCCCATGCTGGCGGCTCGCCAGCGGAGGTCCTCCGACCCCATTGATCGGAGAAGGTCTCCTTGGAGTCCTTCTCTTGTCCGCTTCCATCCAACGAACCAGTTCCGGTAGACGAACCATTCCTCGCCCAAGCTTCCTCTCGGCCGCCGTTGCGCCCATAGCCGTAGTCGTTTCCCCAGGCCCACCTGGAGTCGTCCCAGCTATGGCCGCCGTATCCCCAGGAGTGCCCCCACTGGCGTGATTGCCAATGTTCACCACTCCAAGCGTCCCATCGGCTGTCCGCCTGGGAATCAGGACCCTGAGTCTGGTCGGGGGTCCACTGCTGCCGCTGCTCACCATGATCATCACGAAGTGGGACACGATGTCCGGGGTCTTGAGCACTGTCACGGACGCCATCACTATGTTGCTGCGTCGAATCGTCACCGAGAGGGGGTTCAGGAGAGGTTCGGGAGTGCGCATAAAAACTCGTAGGGCCGCCGGGCGACATCGAACGGAGGCAAAATTGACTGTACAACCTACTGGAACGCCGCAGCGCTCCGCTACCAGTTTAGAACTAGAAGAGACAAAAGAGCCCACCCCGGGCCTCGTCTACTCGTCCGCGCTTTTGCGGCTGCTTGATCAACACGTGTGCCTGCAGGTCGGAAACTGAAAGGCGAGGGATGACTTCAGGAACCTTCAAGCTTTACATTTAGGGCTTAAAGGGTTTAGAGACCAGGGTTTTGGGGTTTTAGGGGTGTAGGCTTTGGTGACTTTAGGGTTTAGGGCTTATAAGGTTTCGGAATAGGGTTTAGGGTTTAGGGTTCAGGGTTTGGGGGTGTAGGTTTAAGCTTTAGGGACTACAGGGCTTACAGGGTTTAGCATGTAGGGTTTAGGGTATAGGGTTTAGGATATACGGTTTTGCTTTAGGATTGCTGAGGACTTAGGATTCGTTTTTCAGAGCAGTTCCCAGAGAGTTCAGATAGGATTTAGTTCGTGCTGTATGGGCTTATGTAGGAAGGGAGACATGGGTTAGGATGGACCGATCTAAGTATCTAAACTGTAAGCCCGAAACGGCCATCCAGAAAACAGCAGCCGATGTAGTCGGTGACTGCATGTTGGGTTTAGGGGTTCTGAGTTTGATATGGGTACTGGGAAAGGGTGTGGGGTTTAGTCTGTTATTGTTTTCTGGGTTACGATATGCTGTGGAAAAGGGTTTACGGAACACTATCCCTCTAAATGGGCTGGGTTCTTAGGAATCTGTGGCCATTAATACTGTAGCGGAAAAGCAGCATAATAAATGTAGTAACCTGATTACGAAACCTTGGGCCTTTATTAGGGCTCCTTAAATGAATCCTACTATTTTGGGGTTGTAGGCCAGGGTTTCCATATCAGGTTCCTACATTATTTCAGAATTCCCCGGACTTCCCCTCGCTTGCAGGGTCCACTTTAATGGGGCCCCTTCGAGACCTTCATGTTTTGTTTCGCAGGTTTCGCTATAGGGTCTTACAGTATGGTTCCTGCTCCTATAAAGCTTGTACTTTGAGCTTAAAGAGGCTTTGTATAGTATAGGTGCTTTGGGATCGCAGTATGTGCCACACAAGTACATGGATCCCCAAGGGATCAAGAGCCCTCATAACCAGTGTGGATTTAACGTCATTGGACGTTTAGACTAGAGCTTCAGCGACTGTTCTGGTCCCGAGTACAGGTCTCGCTGCTGCTAAAGCTTGTAGGATGGGACTAGGCTGCAGTTCGGGGGCACTTTTTCCAAGCAAGGCAGCCTACCTTACCGCGCTTATGCCACGTGTAGACCGCACGTCGGGGGGGGGGGTGTCTCTGATCTCCCAAAGGGTCCTAGCACCGCTATGGGGGATACTTCCCGAAATCATAGTCGCGACTCCATACAGAAACCTTACGTTCTACAACATAAGAACACCCAGGCCCTTCGATAGGCTCCTTACCGACAATCTGGTTTGTTTTCGGGATGCAGTTAGTTGGAGTACCTGCTCGATTTCTGCAGCTGATGCAAGGACGATCTACAGCACTTGTTGGAAGGAACCATTATAGTATAAGCCCTGAAAGGAATGCATTGAATGCATATAGTAACCCTTAAGGAGGAGCCTCTGAAGACGGTTTAGGGTTGAGGGTTTAGAATCCAGGGTTTAGTTTAGGGTTTAGGGTTTAGAATTGAAGGTTTAGAGTTCAGGATTTTGAATTTAGGGTTTAGGGTTCAAGGTTCAGGGTTGAGGGTTCCGGGTTGAGAGCTCAGGAACTAAACCCTGAAGACGAAACCCTAAACTTCAAACCCCAACGGCAGGTGACTTACAACAAAGCCCTCGCGGATAGCATCAAGAAGTGCTTGCAAGCATACGAGGAGCCTCTGGGAGAAGCGGGACCTAGAAGCTATGACCTGGAGTAGGCCCTTATTCCCTTTTTTAGGGTCCAGGTTCCCTTATGAGCCCCTATAACACCAAAAAGGGCACCCTTTTTATTCCTAGGTTACTCTTGGGTCTAGGAAGCCAGCCGCCGGTTTAGGTCGTAAGGTTTCGGGTTTAGGGTTTACCAGGTTTACTAGAACTGGGCTTATAGGAAACTCCAGAAAGTTGGAATATGGTTTCATGGTGGGATACCTTATAATTTACCATAAAGGATTTAGGATAATCATATTCCAACTTTCTGGCTTTTACCTTAAGGGCTCATGGGGTTTATGAGGAGGCCCTCAGCTTAGGGCCTTAAGCTGGGAAGTATGTTGGGGCGCCTTGTGATGAAGATGCTGATTCCAAGCCCAACAACCCTGAACCTTAAATCGACCCTAGTCTATAGCTCAAACTTAAACTCCTAACACCAGCAAACCCAGACCTCAGATACTAGAAAGAGTCCTCAACGTGGCTGGAGCCAATGCGAGGCACAACAACATCCCGACGCTCAAGTGACCCAAAACTCGAGCGATGGAGGGCGTTTAGCACCTTGGGTTTTAACGGTTTAGGGTTTATGGGTTTACGGTTTAGGGCTTAGGATTGGGTTTACGGTGGATTTGTTATATTTCTCCTGCTAGGCAGCTCCTCAACAGAAGTTTTACTGCCTCTGCCATTGTGTGGGCCCAGCAGTGCTACAGGAAAACTACCAACCCCTCAAAGATCGATGTTAAGTCTGTCGGCACGCTAGACCCTAGTAGACCCTTAAACCCCTCCACCCCTAAACCTTGGTAAGCCCTCGGTAGGCTTAAGACTTCTTTTGGGCATGGAGGCTAAAACCTACTTCAGGGGAGTCCAAAGGTTAAGGCTAGACCCTAACATCCGAGAAGTTTTGGGGATTTAGAGCAAAAGCTGGGTCTCGAATCCCGGGTCCCGGAAGAATGGAAGCCTGTGGCTGGTACTATGGGGGGTTAAACAAGTACCCATATTATTCCGGAGTTTCCTTATTATATGTGTATTATAATTGGCTTCCAAACCCCATTCTAATTATTAAGGCCCCTATACTAGACTCCGAGGTTTACCCTGCTAGCTGAATTTGGTGTTTGGGGCTTAGGGGCTAGCCCGGCTAGCTGAATAAGTATATTTGGCGAATTTTACCCCTTGTAGAGCTGAAATGTCCAGCAGCTCTTTTTTTGGAGGCTTATGAAGTCAGCAACTTAGCTACATACTTTGTTCGTAAAGGGGTGGAGTAGGTTGAAGTTCGCATTATATGCTAGGAAGCGTATACTTTAAATCCTCAACCCTAAACCGCTTACCAAGGGTTCTATATCACAGAAGCCTGTGAGTATCCCCTTACAGTAACCCTGCAGAGCCCAAATAAGCCCCAAAACCCTAAACCTTGATAGTTGAACCCTAAACCGTAAAACCCTGAACCCCAAACCCAGAACCTTATATCTTAAAGCCTCAAACTCTGACTCTACCCCCTAGGCCCTAAAACCTAAAACCCTTAACCCTGACCCCTTAACCCTAAGCCTCTAAACCCTAAACCCTTATAGCCCCAAAACGGACCCCCTAGAATCCCCTTTACAGGAGAAGTTGGAGATCGAAGATCTGGGAAAGGCCTACGGTGAATTCGACAAGGCGTTGCAGGCCCCCGGGTTCCTTTAAGGGATCTGGAAGGGTTCCTTTAAGGGATCTATAAGAGTTCCTTTTGAGGGACCTTTAGGGGATCTAGAAGGGTGTGGTATGTCGATGTCGGGCTTAGGGTATACCTAGACCCTTGAAAGCAGTACGTGTTATTGGATAGTCTGTTCTATGGTTAGGATCCCAAATTCAGAAACTAAGGAATCCAACCAAAGAGGTACTAGCTTTAAGGGTCTAGGTTCTGTGGCATATGATGGAATAGGGGCCTTGAGCATCAGAGTAGAGCACTCTCTAAATGTGTCTATAGGATTCCATGAAGGATGTTACGAGGGATCCGCAACACTAGAGGTGTATCCAATTCTCCCGTAGCCTACAAAACTACTATCATAAACCCGAGTAACTGATTATTGGGTCCTTTGGACCCTAGGGGTAAGAGGAGTTACCAGCCCCCCATTCCTTACGAGTTATAGCTATAGTTCTCCTACTTAAAACCCTACTTACAACTAACCATGAACCTCGAGGTAAGTGGGTGGGGTGGGCAAGTTTCGGACCTTTGGTTTTAGGGCTTTTTTTTGCGGAGCTTTGGAGCTCAAGGGCTGTACCCAGAGATCCCAATATCCCTGAATAAAAGAATATACTTCAAACCATACTCTTAAGACCCCTGATCCCAATATCCCTTGGTACAGGAATATACTTTAAACCATAATAGTAATATTAAGGCCTCTATGATTTAAGGTATATTCCTGAATTAAGAGATATTGGGATCTCTGAGTAGTATTTGGGGTTACGGGTTTCGGGGGCCTGTTGGTGGTTTGTGTTTAGGTCTAAGTCTAAGGGCTCATGTTTTAGAAGT